TTTCTCTCTTAAAAAAATTTATAGAATTTTTCAAAGAAATGGATCCTCCCCTACAGTAGACATGCCAGCAACGTTGAAAACGGAAACTTATTCCTCTGCATGATACATTTATACTATATTCACGAATAAAAATATTAAAAAAGCAATAATAAATCTACAAAATCACTTATAGTAAAGTATAAAGAGTTGGACTAAGAAGTGTTCACATATTACTTAGAAAAAAAACAACTGTTAAAATTAAATTAGTTAATCAAGAAATCTAATAGGCAACTTTTATTAAATAGCTATATTCAAACTAAACGTTAAACTGGAAAAAATACACACAATAAAAAATTAAACATATAAAAATAACCAGAAAATCCATAAATTAGCTTACAAGAAAATTTAAAACATGTAACAAATTACTAATTTATAAAATCAATAAAATATAATAAAACCAATTTGGACATATGAAATGTAAATTTGAAGCATGATAGCTCAAATATTAAGAAAATGGAATCTCAAGAATCCATTATACTAAGATCCATTCTACTAAATGCACTGTAGAAATAATGATATAAGAACATTAGAAATTCCTACAGTTGAAAACGAACTTACAAGATCTAAAATACAGGATCTGAAGTACAAAATAGAATAATTAAACATATATGTAAATACTCTTGCTATAAACAATTATACAAACCTTAAAAGACTCAAACGAAAATATCTTTTTAATCTAGTCACTTTCAACTATAGACAACAACACATGCAGTAAATAAAATAACAAAAAAACAATTTTTTTAATATTGTGAAAATTGGGCTTATGTAATAGTTTATAATAAATTAAGAACAGAATGTGGCTTTACTGAAGTAAAGTAAAAGAATAGTAATTATGATAACATAATTTAAAAGAAAAATTTCTTTCAATAGGAAACTAATGGTAAGGTAACGAATCAAATGCCATTATTTATTTGTGATATAAAAATTGTACTTTTACTTTGAATGTTTGTAAATTAAATAAAATAATTATTAATAAAATAAACTCATAAATAAAATATTATTTTTATAATAAACTCTTTTTTCTCGTTTTGAACTTACGTTATTCATCATCATTACGTTATTATTGTAATGTAATACTTAATTATAGCAATAAACAGGAATATTTAAATAAAGAAAACAAAGTAAATAAGCTTAAATTCAGAATAGCCATTAATACGTGTTACAAAAGACATTATATCTTACCTTCGTAAAAATTTATTTTGTAGTTTTTAAAGGAATGAGTTATTATTAATAACTTATTAAACAGCTTTAACGACATATTTAATAATATTCTTATTGCTGGCTATTCCGTGTAGCATGTTATGATTTTATATTATTTTTTTACGAAAGACATGCATTCTATGGAAAAAATTAAAATTTACCTTTACAGTTTGTAAATGAATTATTAAAGATGTTATTTTTGCAACATATTTCATCGATAACTTGTATGTATTAAAATTTACGAATAATCCTTATATTTTATAAATAAATTCTGTATAATTGGTTAGTTTAATTTCATTTTGTCATATGCTACAATTTGAAGTAAATATGTCTTAATATATTCAACTTGTATATTAATACACTGCAATACATTTAAAGAAAATATGAAATTTTCGAATATTGAATAACGTTTTTATTTTCACGACATAAATTCATCTGTGATCTTTTAAAGAATAAAAGAAGATGCGAATGAAATAAGGAAATAAGATAATAAAATATAAAGATATAACATTTCGTTTTTTTAAATTTATAACTAGAAAATATGTGCGCGCGCACACACACAAAATCGATAAAAAAAAATATTTCATATTAAATACAAAATAAACATACAAGCCAAAGATTCAAATAAAAAAGATACGTGTTCAGATACAATAAATTTAATCATTTTTATAAATTACATGAGATAAAAAGATTACGTTTTGTTCTAACAATAAAAAAGAAGATGAATAACAAAAGCAAATTTATTTAAAATGAAAAGCGCAGTCTAATCTACAAGTCTAATAAAATAATAGAATTTCAATGACACAAGAAATGCTAAATTAATCAAACATTCGCCGAGCGCGAAGTGAAAGAAAAATTTTCGTATTATCCTATATATTGGACGGAGATCTGATAAGCTAATTTTTTCACTTGTTAGTTATTTTTCATCTTAAAATAGTATCATAACAAGACAAATTATAAGCAAGAATGAAAAAACAAACAACGATAAAGCTTAAATCAAAGAAAACGAAAGAAAAATATTTATCTACAGACTTTTGTACAATTATATATATATGTGTGTGTGTGTGTGTGTGTGTGTGTATTTCAATTAATGGATGAAAGAATTTAACTAATCGTGACGTGAAAGTATAATCGTGGCAGGCTGTAATTTTCGTAATTATGAAATAATTCGAATAAATAATTCTTTATTGTACAATCACGTCACACCTGTAAAAATTTATATACACAAATTGTACAAGAATATCATAATTTTATTTAGAGTAGTTGTTTTTTTTTTTTACGAAAATATCGTAATTAAATAGACTATTAGATTAACTAAAGCTTTCAGCAGAGTGACGCAGCTACCGTAATATATGTTAACTGTTCTATTTAGTATGCGACTAACGAGGTACGCCTAACTATAAAAACCTTAGCGAACTTGGACGATTACGTGAAACCAATATAACATCATTTATTACGCTAATAAAATTTAAAATTGTCTTACCCTTCAAGAACAAGTAATTTTATTTAGTAATTGACAGTTTAACCAAATTGTTATTATAGCACGAGAAAATAATAGGGAGAACGTAAAAATAATCTTTTTAAAATAAAATTTATTTGAGAAAATGCTAGTCACGTTTGAATTCAAGATTATTTAAAATGGCGCTCTTTCAGATAATTGTTGAGTTTAAAAATAATAGATTTTATCTTTTCGGTTAGAATCTCGTTATGTAAGGAAATTGTATTTCGATCGGAGGGAACAGTAGCTGACAACGGCTAGCGCAATGATGAACAGTGATTGCGTAATTGAAGTGCCTGTCGCAGAATTGCAGAGGTCAGTGCTACAAATATGGCAGGATTCGATTACGTTTCGACCTGAAATTGCCGAGGCGCTGCAAGGACCATCGTCGATATCTACCTCATCAACGTTAGGTGTAGAACACTGGCGAATCACTACTCGATCACCATTTACTGTAACAAAAAAATATTCATTCGAATTCTAATTTAACTAATTTAACACCTTGAGATAGCGGATTTTAAAACAAAAAATTATCCTACATAAAAAATTGTTTTTGTTAATAAAATGTGATAAGAGAGTTTATTTTAATTATTTGGAATACAAAATTTCACGATTCAAGAATGGTAAGTTTTGGGTACCAAAAGATTGGGACATTTTTTTGTACTACTACGCCCCAAAGAATTAACAGTCTAGCTAATTAAGTTGAATATTTGATATTTAAATTTTAGGACATTATATTTAAATATATATAAATAAGTAATTAGAAAAACGAAAATACAGTTTTGTATTTTATTATTAAATTCGTAAGAATATCTTCTACATTATTTACACAAAATCTATATCTTTACACAAAGATTAAATATTCATTATATCGATAGTTTTAATTTGTATATCTATTAATTAAAACATATGAATACGAGTTTATGATGATAAAATAAATTTGGAAAATTCATATTTTCAAGTGAGCAAAAGAATATCTAACTTATTAAATTTCTGTTTAATACATTTTAGTCTATTAGTATAATTATTAATATAATTATTAATGTAAATATTACTCTGAATACTGTGAAAAATTGTAGAAATTAAACTATAAACCATGAATTTTATAACTCTCTTTTTAAGTCGAAATAAATATAAATTTATTTGAAAAAATCATATTAATCTTAACTAAACTTTTAATCTAACTAAATATTTTTTACAAATAAAAATATCTTTTTCATTGCTGTTATTAAACTGAATCATCTCGATGTATGAATCACTGTTCAAGGAAGCAATTAATGACATTCCAATAAAATATCGACAGTAAATCATATTGCGTATTGTTTTGCTTGACTATGGAAACATTTTATCATCTAAAATGTTTAAAAATATAGTCATGGTTACTTTTATTTTAATCTTCACAATTAAATAATCAATTGAATAACAAAAAAAATCATTCTAATTAATAGAAAGATGAATAAAAATAATTATCAAATTAAATATGTATAGTATTTTTCAATTAATATTTAATAATGCATTTCTTCAAAATAAATATTAATAATTAGAAATTACTAATTAAAAATTAAAATTAGTAAAATAAAATTAATAATCAGTTTTAAAATAATTAAATAATTAGTTTAATTTAAAAATAAAATTAATAATTAAAAATTGCACGATTTAAAAAGAAAGATAAGAAGCAAACTATATTCAGATGCATTTTATTATTTCAAAGTAACGGAGTATTTCGCAATGACCTACAAGATATTCCATATAAACCAATTATTAATAATTTTGAAAAATGTTTTAAATAAAAGTTGTATGATTTCAAAGTACAATTTGTGTGTGTGTGTGTGTGTGTGTGTGTG